TTTGTCTCCTGCACTGGCAGGTGGGTTCTTTACTACTAGTGCCACCTGGGAAGCCCTCAGTAGCTCTCAGTATATGTTTACGGAATAAACCCTTCATCATCTGTCTTAAATTGCTAACTTACATGTTTGTTACGGTGTTTATCCTCACATGTGTGTGTGTGTGTGTGTGTGGTGTGTATCAACTAATCTTCAAGCACTTTGGGGGAAGGGATTATGTCTTATATTTCATAGTTTGCTTAGTTAGGGGAAGAACAAGAATTCAAAAAAAGAAAAAGTTTGACAGCATACCAGCATACATTCATTGACAACATCAGCAAGTAAGCTATGTATCAGAGATTAACGCTTGCAAGAAACAAAGTGCTTTTCAGTGTGATAACAAATGAATTAGGGTCACTGAACGAAAGAAATGAGTATTACATCAGTAGGAAACAAGCCAGGGAGAAGCAGCCTTCCATAGAAGAGTCTTTATTTGGAACAAAAGTAAATATGGCTAAATCTTACTCTAAATCAATTCTGTAAACTACAGGAATTAAAAAAAAAAAAGGAATTCAAAAATTATAGTAGTTTAATAGGAGGAAGAGTCTCAAACTCTTGAGAGCAGATCCTCTTATAATTTGATTATTAACCCAAATGGAAAAGTAATTCTGGTGGATGGGTTTTATTTTAAAATGCTTTCTTCTCTTTTTAGAATGATATCCCTTCTAGGAAAAATGAGTTTCAGAAATAATTTTTGTTCCCAGTGTATTTCTTTTTCAGACTTCTCTGATCCCCCTGGGGCAAAGCATTAGCTCTATAACACAGGATGAAGTACCGAGTGTTTTCATAAGGGGTTCTTCAATCTGTCTCCAACAAGGGGCAAAGGGTTGGTCCCTACACAATCCCTAGAAACATTTTAGTAGCTTGCAAGTGAGTTGTTTTGTAGATGAGATTTCTTTTCACTCACCTAATTTTAAAACAAAAATAGAACCTTAGAAGGTCTAAGTATTTGGCTCTTTCATTAACTGTGTGACCTTAGACTAGTCACCTCCAGGGCTTTATACTTTTATCCAGTCAATTAACTTGAATCAGAGCCTCTCCCTCTTGCCCATAAGAATTATAATATCACCTGCTTTGCTCATCTTCTGTGTTGATGTGAGACGTTTAGCCGGAAGGTGTTCAAATGCAAATCATGGAAGTCCTCAGACCCTCTCAGATGGAGGAAAGACCTTATTCAGAAATGCAATCCCTGCCTTTCTACAGATTCCAGGTTCACTGTCATTCATGAGTGCAGTTAAGCCTCACATTAGATACATAGGCTGTCCCAGCGTATGACAAGAAGAGATCACTGCCAGGGAAAAGACATAGGGTGGTGTGTCCCCAGCCTCAGTAATCAGAAGACTACAAGGCCAGGCACTCTCCTGCCAGAGACTGCTTTAGTGTTCAGTCCCCAAAGAAATGGGGAAAAAAAAAAAAAAACACAAGTGGAAAGTTTCAATTTATACAGTACCAAATACAAGGACCTACATCCAGATGGCAGAACTCTTTCAGGTCACTCTTTCAAGCCCAACACACATCAGTCCATTGTAGAGGCCTGAAAACGATCCCAATCCCTCCCCAGACCAATTTATCTTGATGAGACAGACACAGACACCCACCTGTGAGTAAGCACTGAGGCTGTGGATGAGTTCTATGTGGCCAGGTTATTTGGACAGACACAGGCAGAGTGCACGTGTGTGTGTGTGTGTGCATGCATGTGAGAGAGACAGAAAGGGTGCTGCCTGAACAGAAGACAGGCAGTTAATTTGTGAGATGGTAACATTAGTTTATTCACTTTTTTAAAATCAAAAATTTACTGAGCATCTCCTTTGGATATGTAAGGCACTCTAATAAGTACTAAAAAGAGCAAGGCAGACACAATCAGTCCTCAGGGAATTTACAGCCTATGGGGCAATTAAACAGACAATTATAGTAGAATGTGATAAACAAAAGAGACCCAGAATCAAATAGATGTATGGAAACACACACAGGTGGCAGATATAGATAGTAGCAGACAAATAAATCAATGCAAATCCATCCTGTAACTTCTAGCTTTAGCCTCCAAAGAAATGCCCCTAGACTTAACTCAAGATGTGTCCTACCTTGAGTTTCCCTTCTTCTCAGTTCCCCAGTTCTAATCTTTTAGGGAGGAGGAATATAAACCTGATACTACTGAGCTGCCAAGGGAAAATAAAGAATCCTATACTTAGTGCAGTGGTTTGGTGAAGGGTACTGACTTTCGAACTAAATCGGCCTGGGTTCAAATACTTACTCTCTCACATTCTACTAGGTTGACTTATAGGAAAGTGCAGATATTCAATTTTTGTTTTTTTACAATTTCACATAGTTCCACAGAGTTCATCCTCTATATTCTAAGCAAATTATTTAACCTAAGCTGTAGTTTCTTCAGGTTCTTATAATCACCAACTTTCAGAGATACAGTGAAAATTAAATGAAAAGATGTAAATAAAAATACTTCATATAATAGGTGTTCAATAAATATTAGTTTCCCCAAAGGTAGTAAGATGTATGAATCATAAAGAGATTTCTGGTCAGCCCTGCATTTACAAACTAAAGAAAGAAAGCTTAAAATTAGGTTAAATGATAAAATGATAGATTAAAATTTTGGGTTTTGATGTGGGGGAGGTTGTGTGTTGGGAGAGGGGCAGGGGACATATGAGTATTCTCTGTGCCTTCTGTTCAGTTTTGCTGTGAACCTGTTCAGTTTTTCTGTTATTTTTTGCCCTTAAAAAATAAAATTAATCTTAAAATATGGGGAAAGATATGAGGTGTCCTGGGCATGCTTTATTTAGACTCTGAGCTCAGAAGTCCCAATATACACACTGCCTTGGTGTTCACAATGATCTCCAACTTAAAACTCTTCTCAGTCCCTCTGTTAAAATCTTGGTTGAGTCCCAGAAGCCTCTGTTGATCTGGCCCAACTGAGCTAGCAAGTGAGAAAACATCTATATAAATACCAGTGATCTCAGTGAGTCTCCCCCGGTCCCCACCACATTCCTTAGCAGGACTAACCTCTCCCTTTTGACCGGAGCCTCTCTGTTCACAAATAGGCCTGGCTGGGCCTAATTTAGAAAAGTGCAGGCCTCTTATGAAAGTCAGGGGTGAGGCTGGAGCCCCTGCAATCCCAGGACACCTTGTGTGGAGACAGGAACCTGACCCCACAGAAGGTGCTGAAAGGGGTGCTCAGAATGACTAGTTTCCATCAGCTGTTTAGAAACTGGAGTTCAGAGGAGCCATCCTGTGCTTTAATTTCCCTTTGGGCAACAGGTATAGAAGTGGGATAAGTGAAAATTTACTTTGAAGTTATAAAGCATAAAAAATATATTAAATTTTCTGCAGATAAATTGGTGTACAAACTTAGACATCCTAAATATTTTAAAATTCTCTGTGGCACCTAACATGATCGGACATTTATCCCAAAATTCAGCTCTCAGTTCTAGATTGACACTTGCTTTGATCTGCTTTCCAAAAAAATAATGCCACTCATTGGTGTTCTGCAAAATCCAGGACAGTTTTTCTTACACTGAAACTTACACTACAGAATGGGATCTAAGTTCTAACACTTGGCAGTCACTGCTCCCTTGGAAGCCTAGCTGTCTTCTGAAGTCCTAGTATCAGGCAACTCCTCCGAAGTTATATCTGTGCCTGAGATGAGACAGAAATTTAGACCAAAGATGTTAAGCTGTGTCATCCATGATGGCAGTTATTGAACACTTAAGGTGTGCCTACTCTAAAATGAGATGTGCCATAAGGATTTCAAAGACTTAATACACACTGGATTGCAAAGACTAACTGCAACAAAAGAATACAAAATCTTAATAATTTTTAATGTTGATTTCATGTTGAAATGATATTTTGAATATGTTCTTAACATTAATTGACTTTTAATGTGACCACTAGAAAATTTTAAATTATATCTGTGGCTTATATTAAATTTCTGCTGGACAGTGCTGCTCTATAAAATGTTAGGAAGAAAAGAGGCACTAGTTTTAAGTACATTAAATGAGGACATGTCCTGACTGGCATGGATGACCACAATTAATCCCATGGTCTAAGAGTACCTGTATGAATTTTGGGGGCTTACGGTATTCATCAATCAGGGCTTCCCGGGTGGCTCAGTGGTAAAGAATCCACCTGCCAATGCAGGAATTGCCGGTTCAGTCCCTGAGTCAGCAAGACCCCCTGAAGGACGAAATAGCAAGCCACTTCAGTATTCTTGCCTGGAAAAATCCCATGGACAGAGGAGCTGGGCAGGTTATGGTTTATGGGGTCACAAAAGAGTCGGACATGACTTAGCAACTAAACAAAACAACATGATATTCATCAATCAACAAAATACAGAAGTGACTCTAACTAATTATAAATGAACCAAAATTATTTAGAGGGTGGTAACAGGCACCACACTGAAGAAACGAGATCACTCAAATTATGCTCAGACACTAAACTGCCAGTATCGGGGGGCAGGGACTCCCTCTATCTTCTCAACACTTTATCCCCATTACTAGCATGATGCCCACACACAGAAGTGCCCAAACATGGAAGATAATTATATATTTATCAAATGAATGGGTACTGTTAAAAATAAAAACAACTCAGTCTTCAAACAATTCTCACTGTAAAGAATTTTCTCTGAACTGTTTCTTTTCTCCATTTGTTTGCTTCCTACTTCTACTAACCCTTCTCCTGGAGAGACTTCTGAGTTCCAGGAAGAGTTGGAGATTCACCCAGAGTACTCCAATGCCAATCTGTGGGCTCTCTGGTGGAGGAGACAGCCAAGGGTGGAAAGGAGGTCTCCTCTTTCACGTGTGCAGATGAGCCTCTTCTGCAGCTTCCAGGGTGTTTGCAATCAATCAACACAAACTTTCTGAGTTTTGATTATGGGCTCAACTATGTTGAAGAGAATGTTGAAGGCAATAGGGTAAATTGGAGATCAATCCAACCCATAAAGTGTTTATAATCTAGAAGGAGAGATAAAAAATGCACACACAGAAAGATAATTGCCAGCCAGGGGTTAAACATATGTGCCAAATAATGTATCTAAACTCCATTGTCTAAGAGTGCAAAGAGTAAAAGATGGTTTCAGGCAGTGGTGATGAGGAAAGGTCCACCTAGGGAAGTGGAATCTAAGTTGGACTCTGAACCTGAGTAGGGTTTGAATAAGCAGAGAAAAAGGATACAGGTATTCCAGGTGTGAACAAGGATGTATCAGCAGGAATTGACACACATGAGGGAGACTGAATCACTCTAGGAATGAGTCTTAAAATTCATAGTGAGAGAATAAAGCTTGCTTCCTGCTTCACTGAGAATACTGAAGTTACTAGAAGAAAACCCTTGATAGTCTCCTACCACCATATCTATCCATCTACCAGCATCTGTTCTCACAAACTTTCTGCTTGTGGCCACAGGTCAACTAGCCTAGCTCCTATTTAGAGCCAAACCTTCCACTTAAGCATTAGGTCCCATTCTCTCTACTTCTCAAAAACAATATTCAGAAAGTCTTCTCCATCAATATTTTACTTTGTACAGGAAAATTCTATTGGTATACAACATGCTATTATTATTCATCTATCTTTTTAAAAGTCTTCTATGGACTCTTTACCCTTGTCACTGTTCCATTTCTTTGCTTTCCTTTGCAACAAAACTCAACACAAGCAGTCGTACTCATTGACTCCAATTCCTCTCCTCTCGTTTTTTTGTTAAACTGACTGAAGTCAGGCTTTTGCCTCCACCACTCTACGGAAACATTCATGTTGCAAAATCCAAAGATCAATTCTTAGTCATCATGCACTTGAGCAAAGAGCAGCATTTCCAAAGGTTGATCCCTCTCTCTTCCATTGTATGTTCTCCTTACTTGGCTTCTGGGATCTACATTCTGTGGGTTTTCTTCCCACTTCACCAGTTACATATTCTCCATCTCCTTTGCTGATTCTTCCTGCTTTCCTCAAAGTATCAACATAATCCAGGGCTTAGTCTTTGATCCTTTTATCTTCTTTATTGGTAGATCTAACTCCCTTAGCAATCTGTACAGTGTTAAAAAGGAGTAAACTACTGACACAAATAACATGGATGAACATCAAAATCATTATGTTAAGTGAAAGAAGCCCAACTCTAGACTCTATATGATTCTACTTATACAAAATTCTAGAATAGATAAAAACTAAGCTATAGACAGAAAGCAGATCAATGGTTGTCAGCAGTCTGAGATGTAAAAGAACTGGCACCAGTGGGACACATGGCAACTTTAGAGGGGGATGGAAATGTTTCAGTTGTGGGGTAATTGTTACATGGGTATATATATATTTGTTAAAATTCAACCTGTACACTTTATTAAGTAGATTTAAACAAAAAGATGAAAGGAAAACAGAAGTGATAAAGGAAATGGCCATGCAAATAGCCAAGTACAAAGGGTGAGTAAGGAGCTCAGCACCAGGACCACGGATGAGGTGGATTCACTGCCTCAGGTCAGCCTTAAGGGCTGTAAATGCTTCAACAGTAAAACACAGGCATAAATCTTCCTCCACTGGTCATTTTCATGTTTACTGACTCCCCTTCCCATCTCATATCTGTAAAACAAAGTCAGAAAAAGGTATGGGAGGATCATGTGGTGGACAGACTCTAACAGGGCTCTCCATGATCCCCGCCTTCATGTTCATACTTTTGTGTAATCCCCACCCCCCCGAGGCTTGGCAGGGTGTGTAACTTGCTTTCAACCAATAGCATATGGCGAAGGTGACTGACTTCCTCTAGAGCTTCTCCTTGCTGACTTGATGAAGTAAGCAAACATGTGGGGAAAGTCCACATGGCAAGGAACAATACAAGGCTTCAAAGAACTGTGGGCAGCTCTAGCCAAGATCCAGCAAGAAGTTTGAGCCTTTAGTCCTACAAGGAAATAAATTCTGCCAACAACGCAAGTGAGCTCAGAGGCAGATTCTTCCCTAGTCAAGCCTCCAGATGAGAATTCAGACTGGCCGATTCTTTGGTTGTAGCTTAGTGAAGCCCTAAGCAGGAAAGTTGGCTAAACTGTGCGTGAGGACTTCCCTGGTGGTCCAGTGGCTAAGACTCCATGCTCCCAATGCAGAGGGCCCAAGTTCCATCCCTGGTCAAGGAACAAGATCCTGCATGCCACTACAACTAAGACCCAGTGCAGCCAAATAAATATTTTAAAAAGGAAAAAAGCTGTACCTGAACTACTGACTCATATAAACTGCGAGATAATAAATATGTATATGTTTTAAAAATCACTTTCTAAATGTGGCCTCTCCTGACCACACTTTAATTCTGTAACCTGCCCTCTACTCTTACGCTTTTTAACCCCCTTATTCTACTTTTACCCCACCATGAGAAATTCTCACTTTCCAGCATTCTACATGTTATTTAATATTTATTATTTATTGTCTTTTTCCTCATAGTAGAATATAAATTCCATGAGGGCAGAAATGCTCATCTGTTTTGTTCATTTGTTTGTAAATATATATATATACACATATATATACACGCAAACTGTATATATTAATATAAATATATTCCAATCACCTCCCATGGCACCTGGAATGTAGCAGGTGTTCCTAAATATTTTCAAATGAATGACTAATGCTTAGATTTCAACTAGGACCAAGTATTTTTATTCTTGCAGAGACAGAGCATAGTTAATCACTGTCACACACTGAGGCGTCTAAAATTTACTATTAGTTGACCTGTGAGTCTGATCTTCTCCAAATTAAAAATCCCAATTCCATTTGCCCTTTTATCATAAGCCTCATTTCTTAATTTTTAAATTTGACTATTTCCCATTTCCTCTGAATTTCTGGAGGCCTATACCAGGCAGCTCACGTCTGACAGGGCAGTGTACGGGGATGAGGACAGCTTGGTTTCTGTTATGTTCCACATGGCAGTTTGTCCCTTGTACCGCAAGGAGATCCAGCCAGTCCATCCTAAAGGAGATCAGTCCTGGGTGTTCACTGGAAGGACTGATGCTGAAGCTGAAACTCCAGTACTTTGCCCACCTCATGCGAAGAGTTGACTCATTGGGAAAGACCCTGATGCTGGGATTGGGGAGGGATTGGGGGCAGGAGGAGAAGGGGATGACAGAGGATGAGATGGCTGGATGGCATCTCCGACTCAATGGACATGAGTTTGAGTAAACTCCGGGAGTTGGTGATGGACAGGGAGGCCTGGCGTGCTGTGGTTCATGGGGTCACAAAGAGGCGGACATGACTGAGCGACTGAACTGAACAAGTAAAATAAGGTCAATGCCACCTTTTAGGGCAGATACATCAATGAGACAATGCCACCACTTCCTGCCACAATCTTGGTGAAAAGCACCATGAAAATGGATATCATTTCACTAGAGATCTTTCTTTTCTCTCTAGTCAGACCTTAATACAATGTAGAGTTATTCACACACACAAAAAAATCATTTGCATTTGAATGAGTAACTAACTTTAGATTCTAAAGGATGTGCCAAGACCTTGCTTATTAACTGAATTTAGGCCATGCAGCTGCTAGGATATCATGTATACCCCCCTGAGGTTATTAATGGCAAATTTGGTTCTGTGAAAATGGAACAAGACACTAACTTCATACGGCTATTATGCAGTTGGGATTAAATATACGTAAAGTGCATAGCATAGTGCCTAATACATAGTAAATACTAAATGGACTCCCTCCTCCATAGGGTTTAAAGCAAAGCATTTAGCATTTATTTTCCATGTGTATGCAGGTAGACATAAGAGATGTAAGTTGGATCCCTGGTTGGGAAGATCTCCTGGAGGAGGGCATGGCAACCCACTCCAGTATTCCTGCCTGGAGAATCCCTATGGACAGAGGAGCCTGGCAGGCTATAATCCATGGGGTCGCAAAGAGTCGGACACGACTGAACCACTAAGCACAGCCTATCAAGACCCTGAGACACTGGTGACATACTTGGACACCTTGAAGAAGTAGGGAGAATAGGAGAGGAACGAGGGAAGAGAGAATTAGGAAGTGAGCCCTAAGCGCCAAAGGATGGTAGAGAAAGCATGTTTCTAACTGATCACCACCTTCCACCTGCAGCAGTTCAGGCCAGCCCCTAAGTGGCCCTTACAAACCAAGCTTTCCATAGCTTAAGGAACCTCTCTTCTCTCACCCCCAGCTTTGGAGAGACTGACAGGGACCAGTACTACTATTCTGACTCCAAGTTCTCTGAGTCTTCAAATGGTTTGGCAACAACCTGGGTTTCTCCATAATCCCACAGCCTGGAAGGGATAGGAGAGAAAAACAAGACTTCAATGGAGACTGCTCCCTGCCTCTAAGGGATCTCCTCCTCCAAGCCCCGGAGGTCCAGCGCCATTGTTTGATTTCTGTGCCAGGAAGACTCTCGGATTCATCTCTGGACTCTGCTGCTCCTGACTGTAAAACAGAGTGATGAAAAAAAAAAAAAAACCAGAGTGATGGCAACACATCATGACATCAATTGAGTTGTGCTGGGTGGAAAGGACAAGGTTTATGTTTGTATGGAGCTTGACTGGAGAGAATCTGGATAGAGGAGTCTGATGGAGTATCTCTTGGAGTGGCAAGTCACCTATGTGACCTCAAGAAGAAGCTCTGAAATCTATCAAAGAAAAGTGACCTCGAAGGACTAGCCTACTTCTGGCATTCAGACAGTGCCCAGAACCTCTTTCGGCAGCTCCAGATCATGGTCCTCATGCTGACAGCCTCGCTCCACCCACCCCAGGGCCTCAGAGGAGGGCTTCCTCCTCCAGCCCCATGCGGCTAAGGCTCTGTGTACAGAAAGAAGTGGCTTCCTGCCCTGCATGCCAGTGGGACCATATGGGAGGGTGAGAGATGAAAAGCTGGCATGACAAGGCAGCTGGTGCCTTTCATTCACTCCCAACGTCTTGGAGCCAAGTTTCCAAATAACAGGGATGATAACTGCCCAGTGCCGCCCAAAGTCTTTTCTGAAGTTGCCTGGCGAAGAGCCACCTGACTATTACTTAGCTCTCTACAGAACAGCATGTACCAAGCCAGATTGCTGTCCTTCAGTGTGTGGGTGGATTAGCTGCTACTTAACATGATAGGGTGGGCCCCTTTCCAGTTTGCACCAGCCCCCTGCTCAGTACCTTCTCCATGTACAACAGTGCCTCGTTTCTCTGGGAGGTTGAATTTGCTTAGATGAGATGGCAGGGGCCAGAGGAGGAAGCATAACCCACTGCCTCCTGCCATCAAAGCTCCCAAAGGCTTTTGGAAACATATAATAATGAAACGCCTACATAAGGGGTATGTAGGCTGAATAACTAAATATTTTCTTTTGATAGCAGGCACAGGATACAGAATCAATTATCAGTGACGAATTCTTGCTTCTGCTATATATACTCTATTTTAGGCCAGTAATACAAAAGGAAGGAAAGTCTAATCTTCTGCTAAGTATATAGGTTCCTTGAGCTTTTGCTGAAGGGCAAGAAAGTCATTGCAAGTGCCTGAACAGGAAGCAAGGCCTCCTGGATTCTAGGTTCAACCCATGGTTAAGCTGCTGTATGATCTTAGGCAAGTTACTTTACCATTCTGGGCCTCGGCCTCATTACATTTAAAATAAAAGGTTTATTCATTTGGGAAAGCTGCTGTTGTTGTCCAGTCGCTAAGTCATGTCCAGCTCTTTGCAACCCCGTGACTAGAACATGCCAGGCTTCCTTGTCCATTAGTATCTCCTGGAGCTTGTTCAAACTCAAGTCCACTGAGTCAGTGACGCCATCCAACAATCTTATCCTGTGCCACCCCTTCTCCTCCTGCCCTCAAAGTAAATATAGTATATAGGAACTCTATATTTTTGCAACTATTCTGTATATCTAAAGTTATTTTAAAATAAAAAGCCTTCCTAAAATGTGAAGGGGGTTATCTCCAGGATCTTTTACAACTCTAAACTGTGATTCTATGTTCTTATTTATCTCCCTTCAACTGAAAGTAATTTTCCAGCTTTCAAAATATATACCAAAGCAGAATTTTCAGATCCACTCACAACCACAGACAAGATGTTAGGTAGCCCAAGCACAAACCTATTTTCTGCTTTTAACACATTCTATACACTGGGCAAAAACTGAATTCTCCAAAAGCACATTAAAAACATTCCATCCATATCCTCTTTGTTCTTGCAAACAAATTCATCCAGTTGAGAAGAGCTGTTTCTGGCAGTCCATGCTTACTGAATCTCAATTTTTCCCTAGCAACTGGGCTAATTATAACTGCAGCTACCTGGTAACAGCACTAGGTTTTCCTGACATTGGCTGGCAGTCTTAAAGCCATCTCAGTTCTGCTGGCACCTCACTTCCCGAGTCAGCATCAGGGGGACTGAGAGAAGGGAAGTGGCTATCTTAGCTAGGGCGAGAGTATCCAAAGAGGCTGCTCAAAATCACAGAACTTCAGAGCTGGGAGAGACGTCAGTGTCAATCCCAGTCTGGCCCACACATTTTATACATAAAGAACCAGGGACCCAGAAAGAGCAACTTGTCAAAGCCAGAAACATGGCTGTCTTCTTGGTTCCTTTCCCTCCACCCTCATCCATCACCAAGTGCTACAGATATTTTACCTCCCA